CTTTTGCGATCTCGCTCGTGGCGTTGCGGGGACCTTTTTGATGTGGGTTTTCCGAAATGCGGCCTCGGGGTGCTCCCTGATCCGCCGCTAGTTCACCGGTCTGCAGGCTGGGCTGGGCGGACTTGGGCCTTCTGAGTGCCTTCCCGTCAGCTGTCGAACGGAAAAGGCTCTTGAGGAATGCTTAGGGAGAGTTGGGGCTTATCTTTCAATCTAAAAACTTCAAAATAAGACCTAATAATAATGACGAGATTTGGCTTCAAATGACTGTGCACCTTTATTTGCAGAAATTCCCCGGTTTTGCAGAATCTGGGTGCCTTGAGACGATATGATATTTCTTTTGTAAACCAAATCAAATCACTAGTTCCGTCCTTTTCTCAATCCCTCTGGAGTTTGGTGTCGTCAGATCTTGCTCTGCCTTGCTCAGCGCGTTAGTTGGTACCAGCGGAATTTTACTATTTGAGGACAGAGCGAGATGAAATGAGCCTTAAGTGTGGTTCTGTTTGATAAAATAGCTCATACATACATCCATTTGAGGTGATTTGATTGCCTGACTAATAGATTTCTGTCTAGAAGGCTTTGCTTAATATGTTCCTATTTTCCAGATAGCCGTTCTGTGTGCCGCTTGTGACTTAACATTTTTAATCCTTACACGACAGTAAAACAGGGAATTCACCTACTCCAGGGCACCTTCAGTGTCACAGCTAAGAACAGAATCTGAAGTCATCCTGCCCGGCAGGACTGACTGCGTAACTTGTGTTGATCTAAATTAAAATACAGGGCTCTTTTGTTAAAAATTGATTTAAGAATTTCAAAACTGGCAGCAGAGTATTAGTAAACTAAGCGCAGGGCCTGTGAAGTGGGCCCTGTTGCTCCTTGTTGAGTCCTAGCTCTGTTCCTTAGTAGCACTGTCGCTTTGAGCAAGTTACTGTGCCTGCTTCCTAGTCAGTGAAATTGGGATAACAGTGACACATCGTTTATTCTGTTTTTAAGAGTTAACAAATGTGCCTGAGCCCGTGGGTTCGAGACCCACCTGGGCAACTTGGCGAGACCTCATCTCTACAGTAAATAAAAAAATTAGCCAGGCGTGGTAGTGCGCGCCTGTAGTTCCAGCTACTGGGAAGGCTGAGGCGGAAGGATCGCCAGAGCCCAGCAGGTCGAGGCTGCGGTGGCCGGGAGCGGTCACTGCTAAAAAAAAAAAAAAAAAAAAAAAAAAAAAAGAAGAGTTACCAAATGTATTCAATAGATGTTAGCCAGTATTATTAATTTTTATGATCATTCATGGAATAGGACCATCTGGTTAAAGAGAAGTACAGCAAAATATTAGTATTTAACTGGTTAAAATTCATTAAAGTTTTCATAATCCTAATTCTTCTCTGGTGTACTTCTCCCCTGTCTTTCTCATGAAAATGATTAGCATTAGTTTTCGTGTATTCCAGATTACATTTTTATTGTAAACTCAAATAACTGTTTAGGAAAAAGGAATCTAGTTCATCTTTAAATTTTGTTAATGTTCATTCCCATTTGAGCCTTCTTTAAACTTTGTATATACGACGATATATTAAGTAGCATGATCAAAGTGTTAAATAGTGTGTAGCCTTGAGGAACTTAATACTTTCTAGCTTCTGCATTTAATGTACACATATTGCCTTATTGATAAATGTCGATCTGCATATTTAAAAACAACAATGTTGTTACCGTTCAGGTGAAATTACAGACAAAAGCCTCGTGAGCCCAGTGATCAGGGACAAACACTCAAACGCATGGACTGAAAATAGCCTATTAAAAACCTGCTTTAAGTGGGTGGTAAGCTTGGTAAATGTGATACGATTGTTTTAATTGTTATAATTTATATTCTTTCTTTAATATTACCAAAAATTAGGCATAGTGTTTGCAGCATAATTTGGACTGAATCCTTTTTGAGGGAGGAAAATCCTCAGTAGTCTATGTAATAAACTTTGTTTTTATTCTTTCCTATCCAAGAATGTTAATTTTTGCTTTAACGTTAATGTAAGAGAGAACCTGCCATTCTTTTTGTAGTCCCTGCACCCAGCACAGTGCTTGATGCATGATTTAATTTACAGATGAAAAAAGGAAAAAGAATGTATTGACTATATCTTGTGTACTTGCAGGATGCCAGACACTGTTCAGTGCTTGCTTGCATATACAGTAATTCATTTCATCCTTCCAGTAATTTCATTTCCCTTTTACGAATAAGGAAACAACATTCTAAGAGCTTAATTATCTTAGCCAAGATCTCCAGTTGACATTTGAACACCAGGTCTGACTCCAGAGCTCATGCTCTCCCCATGCCTAGGTTTCAATCCTGGCTCCACTAATTGTATGACCTTGGGCAAGTTACTCAACATCTCTGCCTGCATTTCCTCATCTATTAAAATGAAGGAAATAATCACATCTGCCCTGTAGGATTGTTGAAGTGAATGAATTAGTAAAGCTCTTTGAACAGTGCCTGGTACATGTAAGTGCTTAGCAAGTGTTAACTCCTATTATTCAAGCACACTACCTTCTCAAAGCTTATACTACGCTGCAACATTACTTATATAGTTACCTAGAATTACAGAGGCAGGAATAAATCCACCTGTAAGGAAAAGTTAAGACTGTTTGCCGTAAAGCATATATGGTGACTTATAAAATTTAGGTAACAATTGAGAGTTATGTTACTGGGCAGATTCTTCTATCATTAAAATATAGTTTCTTTCACTGGGAATAGAAGTGGAAATCAGAGTTGGAGGCTGATTTTTGGATCCCAGATCTGAAAATCTGAAATCCAAAATGAAATTCAAAGCTGTTGAGAGCTGATATGAGATCACATGTGGACAATATCATACCTGAAACTTTGTTTCATCCACAAAATCATTAAAAATAATATATAAGATGGGCACAGTGACTCATGCCAGTAATCCAAGCACTTTGGGAGGCGGAGGCGAGAGGGTTGCCTGAGCCCGCGGGTTGGAGACCAGTCTGGGCAATATGGTTAGACCTTGTCTCCACAATAAAACAATCAGCTGGGCATGGTGGTGTATGCCCCTCGTTCCAGCTACTTGGAAGGCTGAGGCAGAAGGATCACCTGAGCCCAGCGGGTTGAGGCTGGAGTGGACGTGAGCATGCTCTTGCACTCTGCCTGGGTGACAGTGAGACTGACTCAAAAAAAAAACCCCAGCCCCCCCCACCTTCAGGCTGTATATATAAGGTAAAAGTTTATGAAGCAAATGAATTTTATGATTAGACTTGGGTCCCATCTCTAAGATACCTCATTATTTATATGTAGTTACTCCAAAATCTGAAAAAAATCCAAAATCTGAAACAGCCCTCAAGTATTTCAGGTGAGGAGTATCTTGCAGCAGCTCTGTGCTCCACAGAAGTCTCTGCCCAGCTTTATGCTTTTATATAATTTTTCATCCTTCCTATCATTACTTCTCTAATTAATTGTATTAAGTAAACTAAAAAATTGTATGTTTGTATGTGTGTGTGACAGGGTCTCACTTTGTTGCCCAGTTGGGAGTACGGTGGCACGATCCCAACTGACTGCAATCACTCAAGTGGTTCTGCTGTCTCAGCCTCCCGAGTAGATGGGATTACAAGCATGAGCCACCATGCCGGCAACACTGGCTTTTTTTTGAGTAGGAGTCTCACTCTATCGCTCAGGCTGGAGTGCCGTGGCATGTTCATGGTCACCATAGTATGCTCACGGCCACCGCAGCCTCAACTTGCTGGGTTCAGGCAATCCTTCTGCCTCAGCCTTTCAAGTAGCTGGAACCACAGGCGCATGCTACCATGCTGGGCTAATTTTTTAATTTATTGTAGAGACGCGGTCTCACCAAGTTGCCCAGGCTGGTCTTGAACCCTAGCTCAGGCAATCCTCTCACCTTGGCCTCCCAAAGTGCTGGAATTACAGGCTTGAGCCACCGTACCTGGCCTAGTTTTTGTTTTTTTTTTGAGTTGGAGCCTCATTCTGTCATCCAGGCTGGAGTGCAGTGACACACTCATGGCCACCACAGACTTGACCTGCTGGTCTCAGGAGATCCTTCTGCTTCAGCCTTCCAAGTAGCTGGAACCATAGGTGTTCGCCACCATGGCCTGCTAATTTTTTGATTTATTGTAGAGATGAGGTCTCGCCAAGTTGCCAAGGCTGATCTTGAACCCCTAAGCTCAGGCAGTCCTCTCACCTTCACCTCCCAAAGTGCTGGGAACAGGTGTGAGACACCACGCCCGGGCCAACATCGGCTATTCCTTTTTTTTTTTGAGTTGTAGTCTCAGTCTGTTGTCTAGGCTGGAGTGCAGTGGCATGCTCATGGCTACTGTGGCCTCAACCTGCTGGACTCAGGCGATCCTTCCACCTCAGCCTTCCAAGTAGCTGGAGCTACAGGTGCGTGCCACCATGCCCGACTAATTTTTTGATTTCTTGTAGAGATGAGGTCTCGCCAAGTTGCCCAGGCTGGTCTCAAACCTGTGGGCTCAAGCAGTCCTCTCACCTCAGCCTTCCAAAGTGCTGGGATTACAGGCATGAGCCACCACACCTGGCCTAACACTGGCTATTCTTAAACTGCTTAGATGCAGCTAAGAAACTTATAGACTTTTAGAAAACCTTTAGTGGCAAGTAAGACTAACAAATTATTTCAAAAATAAAATCCAAGAACATAATCTAAAAAATGTAACAGCCCATGAAGAGTCATCTATTCACAGTGCTACACTGGTAGCACCAGCCCACAGGAAAGTTTGTTTTTAAAGACCCAATTTAAAAAAGGGTTTTAAAGTTTAAAACTTCCTAATTTAGCCACTTATTTAATAACCCATGACTTTGCTATAGATCTCTGGTTGTAGCGTTTGCTGTTAGGATAGGCTGAAGTACAATATCTTGCATGTCTGCTAAAGAATGCTTCTAATTGTATTAATTTATATTAGGAAATTAACTTCCTCACCAATCATGACTTTCCTTCTGTTACATAAAATGTCTTAACACTGAAAATTTTATTTTAGATCTCACTGGAAAGATGAAACCTGATGAAACTCCTTTGTTTGATCCAAGTCTACTCAAAGAAGTGGACTGGAGTCAGAACACTGCTACTTTTTCTCCAGCCATTTCCCCAACACATCCTGGAGAAGGCTTGGTTTTGAGGCCTCTGTGTACTGCTGACTTAAATAGAGGTATGGACTAAGTTTACCAATCCTGATGAGAATTATAATTAGCCTTACATTTTCTCCATAAACATGATGCTGATAACTTTTTTAAAAATATTAGACTATTGAACTACTTTTTGTACTTAATGTATAAAGTTACTGGGACATTCAATACTAATGTGTGTATGTCATGGTTAAGATCAAATATTATTGTTAAATATTTAAAGTGACTTAAAGACAACACCATTCCTTCCTAATTAAGACAAAAGACTTTCTCATAAACAAAGGTGAAACTGTCATGTAGAATGACAACATGAGGAAAAATCTGCTCTAAGAAGCTGAATTGGGAATGAGGGTGGAGATAATTTTCCTTGGATAAATCAAAGGGGTTATTCTATATCTATTTCTTTTTTTTGAGTTGGGTTCTTACTATGCCACCCAGGCTGGAGTGTAGTGGCAAGATTGTGGCTTACCACAGCCTTGTCCTCCTGGGCTCAAGCAATTCTCCTGCCTTTAACTTCCTGATTAGCTGGGACCACAGGCACGTGCCACCATGCCTGGCTAATTTTTTTATTTTTTCTAGTGGCAGTCTTGCTATGTTGCCCAGGCTGGTCTTGAACTCTTAGGTGCAAGCAGTCCTCCCACCTCGGCCTCCCAGTGTGCTGGAATTCCAGGTGTGAGCCACCATACCTGATCTTTTTTTTTTTTTTTTAATATCAAAGTTCTCCAAAATAATTTCCTTAAATTTGGTAATTAAAAGTCAATATTGTGCTTTTCACAGTTTTCTTTTTGGTAGAAAGTCTGAAGGAAATAATCTTGGCCAAAGAAATTATTGAGTATAGAAAAGTTAAGATTCTCAGTGTTCAAGTGTAATGTTGACATGAATATTACATAACATTAATGAAATTAACTAGGAATTTAAAAAATTTCAGTTTCAACCATGTTATATAATTTATATTTTATTTTACAAATACCATGTTTGGTCATAGACTTTTCCACTTTTAAGTAAAACTAAATCACATAATTGGGAAAATTTGGCATATTTGCATTGAATGCAAATTACTTACTGCAAATTACACTGGAAAATATATGTGCTGGTTCTAGAAATATTGGATAGTAAGGTCAGCACTATTCCAAACATCTTATGCAGGCAAAAGCATTGGTAAGACCCATTATTCTTTATTGTGTGTAGTGATTATGGGAAATTCTGAAAAAATAATTGCCCATAATCCCACGAGCTTAACATAGTACATCTTTTCATATTCTGTTTTCCTTTTTCTCTTCTCAAACTTGAAATGTTTTTCAAAACTAGGTTTTTTTAAGGTACTGGGTCAGCTGACGGAGACTGGAGTTGTCAACCCTGAACAATTCATGAGTAAGTACTAAAGCCTCGTTTTTCCTGAATGAAAAGAAGTGGAAATGTGTTTTTTGGTCTAGAGCTCTGTTTGGTGTCTACTTGTGTTTGTGTTCAAATAGTTGAAAGTTATTCAGGTAACAAATTAGCTGTCTTCTTATTTAAATGTTTAATGTGGCTGAGTTGTTCTAGAATCCAATTGTAACAGGTACCTGCCTACCTTTCAGTAATTACCATAGCCTGGGGCCTATGCGGACACCCTAGAGAGTCTCAGGTTTTTTAACTGTTAATTTTAATTTCCTTTCACATGGTTAGGCTGCTCACAGAAATTTAATCACCAAGTCAAAACTAAGAGCATATGTCTTAAATTTATTTTTTGGTTCATTTGCATTTAATTTTAAGATTAGCAGGTATCTTAGAGTTAGTCCAACTCTGCTTTTTTAGACATATGAAAAATGGAAATCCAGAGAGATCCAGAGACTTACCCAAGATCACAGGTAGTTACTGCTGAAAGGGATGAAGCCTTCTGAACTCCACCCAGCACTCCAACACAGCCTTTTCCTGTTTTCTGTAATTCTTCACTTCCTTTCATGGGTGATTTTGTTTTATACTGTGTGTGACCCTTTTGAGAATGAAGGCCATCATTCTCATAGTCTTCTTTCATTGAATTTATTTCTTTTGCCATGTGAATCCCTCTCTAGAATGAGACCGTGGAAATAAGTGATATGAGAGACTGTTAGGCTGTTTTTAATTCCTAATTCTTCTTTGTGGCGTATCAGATTAGATGAGAAACCATGTCATTTCAGCAATGTACGAACTAAAAATAAATTTGAAGGGGAAATATCTTTGTTCCTGTTGGCTATGACAGTTGCTAAGGTATGAGCTCACATTAATGCTTATGAGTAAAACGGAGTATAAGTAAAATTGGAAAAATTATCTGGATTTGGCAAGAAATTTTTCACCTCCTTTGCAAGGTACTTTCAAAGCAAACAAAAGCAATTATTCTTTTTCTAAAAGAGCAAGTCATGTAATCATGAAAGATTTGCAATCACAAAGGGAAAATTGAAAAGTATTTTGTTAAAATATTTTGAAACCAAAAAAGTAAAAATTACAGAATTGAGCACTTGTTAAAAGTTAAGTAAATCTATTTAAAGTAAATAATAAAGAAATTGAAGTTTTATTAGTCATACAAATGGTAACAATTACAATTTACTTGTAAGTGTTGTTCATTTAAAATAGCTATAGCTATATTCTTTATTTTGTTAGCCAGTATTTTATTTTATTTTTAATTTTAGCTTAAAGATGTGGGGTACAATTCAGGGTTAAGTAGGCCAATGTTCATTATGCGGGTACCCTTGCTGATAAGATATGCCCTTCTCTCCCCTGGCAGTTTCCCTCAATGCCAATCCTACCCCCCCTCCCCTGGCAGTTTCTCACTACTGCCAATCCCTTTCTTATAGTATTATGATAGGTGTTCAAGGTCCGCTTATGAGTGACAACGTATGAAATACTCTGTTGTTTCTGTGATAGATCACTGAGTATGATAGACTCTAAATCCATCCAAGTTGCTGCAAGGTCCATGTTTGTCCTTCTTTATGGCTGCATAATATTCCATTGTGTACATGCACCACATTTTTAAAATTCAGTCCAGCTTCCATGGGCAGGATGGTTGGTTCCATGTTTTTGCTATTGTGAGTAGAGCTGCAACAAGATATATGTATAGACTATATCCCAATTGATACTGATTGCTGAGATTTCAACTACTTGGTAATGTTTTCTTTAGAAATGGAAGGTGAATTACTAAGGTAAAATAGCTTTAAATCTCAATTATTAAGTCAGCTAATCCTAGTATTTTTCTGGTACCTGACAAAGTTGAATGTGTACTATATAACACTTTGTTTTCCACTTTCCACAGAATCTTTTGAGCATATGAAGAAATCTGGGGATTATTATGTTACTGTTGTAGAAGATGTGACTTTAGGACAGATTGTTGCTACGGCAACTCTGATAATAGAACATAAATTCATCCATTCCTGTGCTAAGGTATGTGCTCACATTAATGCTTATGAGTAAAATGGACAGGTGTTTTCTAGCAAAACTGACTTTAAAAATTTTCCACTAGGCAAATCTCTTTTCTCACTGCTTTTCATTGCTTCTGAGAAATCCCTTAGTAACAAATTTTCCCAGTGTGTTCTGAGCGTTATAAGAAAATCTATTAACAGTATTGATGGTTTGCTAAAATTGTTCTATAAGGTCTTAGATTTAGTATAATCATAGAAAAACCAGGTTGGCATCATGCAATTTAGCAGTAATGTATAGAATCCCTAATGTTATTTTTTCCCAATTACTGCATTAGCACAAATTTGTTTTCAGAAAGGGTTTAGAATACTATATTCTGTTCTAAACGTTTGGATGTCTGAAATTCCTTTAAGCAAGGAGTAGAATGATGGATATACTGTGTTCATGACAAGGTTACATTTGGTATGTGGATTCTGATATTTGCTTTAAGATTATGGGATAGGGTCACGTGCGGTGACCTTGGGAGACAGAGGTAACAGGATTGCCTGAGGTCAGGGCTTCGAGACCAGCCTGAAAACATGGTCAGACCTCGTCGCTACAATAAAGAAAGAAGAAGAGCCAGGCACGGTGGCGCATACCTGTGGTTCCAGCTACTTGAAAGGCTGAGGTGGGAGGATCACCTGAGCCCAGCAGGTCAAGGCTGTCGTGGCCGTGAGCATGCCACTGCACTCCAGCCTGGGTGACAGGGTGACAGACTCCAACTCAAAAAAATAAAAAGACAATGGGGTGGGGGTGGGTAGTTGGGAACATAGCCAAAACAAGATCAGACATAAGTAAAAACTACTTTTTTGCATTTTGTTTTTTGTCAAGTTCAAATTTACAAAATATACTTATTTTTTTTTAAGAGATGAGGTCTTGCCAAATTGCCCAGGCTGGTCTTGAACCCCTGGGCTCAGACACTCCTCGCACCTCTGCCTCACAAAGTGCTGGAATTACAGGCGTGAGCCACTGCACCCAGCCCTCTTTATTTCTTTTAATCAGTAAATTCTTACTAACTCGTTTGTTTTAGCTAGAAACAAAGCTGGATGCTTAGTCCTTTAAACATTGTCAATATTTCCAGAGAGGAAGAGTAGAAGATGTTGTGGTTAGTGATGAATGCAGAGGAAAGCAGCTTGGCAAACTGTAAGTAGACAAACAAGGTAACTCTGGACACATTTTGTCTTAGTTGGGTTTCTTGCCAAGAGACTTGTTTTTAGGATTTCATTTTAAGTTCTTCGGGGGCATCATTCATTTTGAAACAGCTCTCTAATAGCTTAGACTGAATTACGTGAATAAAGTATTGCTACTAGTTTTGCCTCCAAGTGTGAAAGCTGCAAGTGTACTCTTTACAGACAGTTACACCTTTAAATTATTAACTTTTGTGGCCACTCCCGGCCACCGCAGCCTCGGCCTATGGGCTCCGGCGATCCTTCCGCCTCAGCCTTCCAAGTAGCTGGAAGTACAGGCGCGCGCTCCCACGCTCGGCTAATTTTTGATTTGTTGTAGAGATGAGGTCTGGCCAAGTTGCCCAGGCGGGTCTCAAACCCATGGGCTCAGGCAATCACTCACCTTGGCCTCCCAAAGTGCGGGATTATAGACTGAGCCACTGAGCCCGGCCAAATTATTAACTTTGAATAGTAGTTTTCTCATGCTAGCAGGAAACAAACTTTTGGGTTAGTCAGGTGATTTGCCCCAGCTTCTCTGTCATAGGCAAAAACAAAGGAAATATTTAGTTACTATAGGATATTCTGTGATTTCATCTCATAAATTGTAGATACACCAAGACAGCCATCACTATGTAATCCTCTATACGTTTACCTACATCTTTTAAAATAAGTGTAGGCCTGGTGCAGTGGCTCAAGCCTATAATTCCAGCTCTTTGGGAGGCTGAGGCGAGAGGATTGCCTGAGCCCACGGGTTCGAGACCAGCCTGGGTAACTTGGCAAGACCTTGCCTCTATAATAAACAAAAAAATAAGCCGGGCATGGTGGTGCATGTCTGTAGTTCCAGCTACTTGGATGGCTGAGGCGGAAGGATTGCCTGAGCCCAGTGGGTCAAGACTGTGGTGGCTGTGAGCATGCCACTGCACTCCAGTCTGGGCGACGGAGTCAGACTCCGATTCAAAAAAATAAAACAAGTTGCATCCGGTTATTGCCTATTATATAGGAACTTGCTTTTTATGTCTCTTCTGAGTTTGAAGAAATTCACTTAATGACTAGTAAGCACCTGCTGTGTGCCAGCTGCTGTTCTAGAATATATCAGTGAACAATACAGCTCAGCCCCTACTGTTGTTGTCCCTAGGCCTTAGACCTCTTCTAATTTTGTAAATTCATTTAAGATCTTTGGTTTCAAAGACATGATTTTTAAGTCATGGGAACACCCTCCAAATTTGTGTAGATCCTTTAAGTTTTTATCCTGCTAGGCAGTTAGCAGCACATTTTTATATTGGGTTTTGATTCTTTAAGGATTTATAAAGATGTGGAACTTTTTGTAATTAGGCCAGTCTTGAGTTATTCTGATATGCTTTCACAAATATGGAAATAGCTTTAAAAATGACTAAAGAACAGAGCTATTATGTACCCATTTATGTGGGAAATATTCACTACTCCTAGTTGTTTAAATAAATTTACAATAAAGACCTTTTACAAAATAATTTTCTAAAGGTTTGATAGTCTTTTTTTTTTTTTTTAAATGAGAAAGCAGAATTTATTGAGAGGACAGAAAAGCATCCACAGTAGGAGGGGACCCAAAGGGATTGCCCCAAGGTTGAGTCTTTAGTGCTAACATGAATCTTAAAATTTAAAGAGGGTTTAGGGTGGGCTTAATATTTGTCCTGTTTATTCGTGGTCTTGAGAGTACTAGATAAAAGTATATATGAAACTAAATAGAAATGCTTTGGTGATTTAAATGCTTAGCACCTCACAATTGGAATATTTAATGAATGTAATGGGATAGACTGTGCTTGAAACGTACTGCTAATTTTAAAAAGTTTTGTTTTACAGAACAATTATAGTGTTACTAAAATCCATTTTTATTAATGTGTCACACTCCCCTCTTTCTAAATTTCAGATTATTATCAACTCTTACTTTGCTAAGCAAGAAACTGAACTGTTATAAGATTACCCTTGAATGTCTACCACAAAATGTTGGTTTCTATAAAAAGTTTGGATATGCTGTATCTGAAGAAAATTACATGTGCCGGAGGTTTCTAAAGTAAAAATCTTTTAAGAAAGACAGTTGTCAAAGGAGCTGATGCCACAGGCTGTACTCTTCCTAGAGTTAAAATATTTTGTCACTACAACCCAGTGACCTCCTTAAATACTGGACTAAAGAAGACATTGTAATACTACAAGTATAATGACATTTAGAAGATTACTTTGGGCAGTGGGACATGCTGTGAATTTAGATTACAAATGAATATTATAAAGGGGATGATTTTTAACCAAAGGAATATATTTTTAACTTGAATTTTTTCTTGCATTGTATTTTTCTAAAGTTTGGCTTCATTTCTTGGTAGTCAAGAGTATAGATAGTAAGGAGTTATATGTCTGCTAGCTGTGCTGCTCATTTAAAAAAGTATACACCAAATAAAGCTGTTCTTATATGCATAAAATTAAACCTTTGTTTTAAGGAGACATGTCTAAAAAACATCTAAAGGGGAATATCATCTCCCCCATATTAAGTCAAGTTGGATACATTAACAGCGAAACATAGTGCATTCCCACATTCGTTGATCCTAATATGGGCAGACAACCTGGCCAGCCTGGTAAAGAAGTAATGAAAGTTAACTTATAAAATGTGACAAGATTCAAAGTAAAACAATTCAGATGTTTTACTAATAGCTTATATAGTTCTACAAGGGGGACCAAAAACAAACTAGAATTTATTTATAAAAAATTGTGTATTTATTCTTACATGTTTCAACTCCAGGCACCTTCAAAGTACCCCGTTTGATGCAGTACTTATCGAGATGCTTTTTCCCCTGCTCAAAACAGTTTTTTGTTTTTTTTTTAATCAGAGTCTTACTGTCACCCAGACTAGAGTGCAGTGGCATGCTTATGGCTACCATAGCCTTGACCTGCTGGGCTCGGGCAATCCTTCTGCCTCAAGCATTCTGAGTAGCTGGAACTACAGGTCTGTTCCACCATGCCCGGCTAATTTTTTAATTTATTGTAGAGATGTCTTGCCGAGTTGCCCAAGATGGTCTTGAACCCCTGGGTTTCGGCAATCCTCCTGCCTCTGCCTCCCAAAGTGCTGGGATTAGAGGTGTGACACCCAGTCACAAAAGTTTTTGAACTCATCAATTTTGATGCCTTTTAGTGCTGCCATTCTTATGTTTCATCTCTTCCACATTGGCAAAATGTTTCCCCTGAGGACTTTTTTATCCAGGGAAATGAAAAAAAGTTACCCTGGGAAAGATTGGGTAAATAGGGAGGGGGATGGGACACAGGGATCATACTGTTTTTGGTCAAAAACTGCTGAACACTCAGCATGGTATGGGTAGGTATGCCCGTAAGTCACCCATCATTAAATGGGTAAACGTGTTGAAAGAAATCTCCAAAAAGCCATTGACGCTGAACCCAGTCTCTCACAGCAACACCAGCTGGTCCACTGATGCCAGTGGGTTCCTAGAATACTTACCTAGCAGGATCTGCCCTCCAGAAGATAACTCTGGTTTTTTTGGGGGGGATCCCCTTCGTATGTAGATTAAAAAGTATCACCTTTTTTTTTTAAGTGAGAAAACAGGATTTATTGATAGGACAGAGAAGCTCCCACAGTGGGAGGGGACCCGAAGGGGTTGCCCCAACACCACCTATCTTATCCGTGAAATATTGTCAAAAATGTTTAAGATAAATTATAATGGAACATTTAAGGTACTATATATATATATTTTAAGATGAGGTCTCACTATGTTGCTCAGGCTGCTCTTGAACTCCTAGACTCAAGCAATCCTCTTGCCTCAGCCTCCCAAAATACTGGCGGGAGCCACTGTGCCTGGCCTAAGGTACTTTTCAACAGTGAATCAGCACATGCTGGCATATGTATGTCTACCCCAATTTCTCTCTTCATGGGTACCTGAAGCTTCTAAGTAACATTTTTATAAAAAATGGAGTATCACACAATTGAGTGGAATATGGTATCTGAAAATGTGTTGTACTGCATTTGTAAAATGTTGATGGAAACTTTTTAATGTGATGATGATGGTACTGTTACTCTAGTTACGAGCCAGTTTTGATTTATTTTTAGAAGTTGAAGAATTTGATGCTTTAATGGTCTAATCTTTTGCATTCCATATTACATTAAACCTGTTTATATGAGGAACTGGCTTCTGTTAGAATCTTGTGCTTTTCTTGAGTCTTCTAGTGAACTGTTAAGTGGTGATTCCTAAAATTTTAGTTTTATGTATTCTTTGTAAAATAAACTTGGAAAGTACCGACCACATATTTCTCACCCATTTGACTCATACTACCTCATCTGGTTTCTGGACTTCCCTCCATGTAGCTAGCTATACTTGGCTTTCCAAAACAGTAGAAATCCTTCACCGATAGCAGATGCACTGATTTGTTTATGGCCTGTGCTGAGCTCATCGGTCCAGTGACCGCAACAAAGCTCATTCTGTCTCTTCAGGAGTACTGCAATACTGGCAAACAGTAGCTTTATTAGGTAAATTCATAATTTTATTATGGCAAATCCCTGTTAAAAAAATAAGCCAGGTAAAGGGCAAAATAAAATGTTTGAATATCCTACCACTGAACAAACTGAGGTAAAACTATTTACAAGGTTGGTATTTCAGTAAATCCCTTTAAATGGTATTCCTCAGGTCTTTAGTTTTCCCATAGGAAATAAGGCATAGCATATAAAAATTGTGTCATTGAGGAAAATGGTGCTCTATATTTAGCTTTAGTTAACAAAGTTATATCTACTTTTTCTTTTTTTTGAGTCAGTCTGTCACCCAGGCAGGAGTGCAGTGGCACCCTCATAGCCACCGCAGCCTTGACCTGCTGGGCTCAGGCGATCCCTCCACCTCAGCCTTCCAAGTAGATGGAACCACAGGCATGCACCACCATGCCTGGATATATATATATATTTTTGATTTATTGTAGAGACTAGGTCCTGAACTCCTGAGCTCAGGCAATCCTCTTACCTCTGCCTCCCAGTGATGGGATTACAGGCATGAGCCACTGCGCCTGTTTAAGATTTTCTAAGCCATACTGTGAGTAAACTTGGGTATGGAAAAATGCTCCATAAAACATTTCTTAATATATGAACATTGTTTTTTTTTTTGAGTTGGAGTCTCACTCTGCAGCTGGAGTGCAGTGGCACGCTCATGGCTACCACAGCCTCGACCTGCTGGACTCAGGCAATCCTTCTGCCTCAGCCTTCCAAGTAGCTGGAACTATAGGAGTGAGCCACCATGCCTGGCTAATTTTTTAATTTATTGTTGAGACAAGATCTCGCCAAATTGTCCATGCTGGTCTCGAACTCCTAAGCTCAGGCAATTCTCTTGCTTCGGCATCCCAAAGCACTGGGATTACAGGCTTGAGCCACCACACCATTTTTTTTTCCTAAAGAGAGAGTGTCACTCCATTGTCCAGGCTGGAGCACAGTAGGGTTATAGCTCACTGCAGCTTCCAACTCCCTTCTCAGCCTCCTGAGGAGCTGGTTGCTACCATGAATTGCTAGTTTTTTAAACAATTTTTTGCAGATGAGGTCTTGCCATGTTGCCCAGGCTGGCCTCAAACTCCCGGCCTTGAGTGATCCTTCCTTCTCAGGTGCGAGCTGCTGCGCCCAGCTACTCACCACGTTCTTGAGCACTGGTTGCTTTTGAAAAGGTATAATGAGGTGGCAGCTGTGATTTTGACTATGCTCTGTATACTTCTATTTCATCAACGATAAGATACACTGTAACATCTCTGAAATCTGCATTTTATTATTGATGGATTGTCATAGTTTAGTTGGCAGTATTTTGCCTTTTGGTGGTATCTAAAGTGGTGTACTTGTGATGGGCTCTTAGATTGGATGAAACACAGAGGCTAAGAGGTGGAAGATAGTAGTGAAAGCAAGACTTTTTTTTTGAGTTGGGAGTCTCACTCTGTCACCCAGACTGGAGTGCAGTGGCCACTCCCAGCCACCGCAGCCTCGACCTGCTGGGCTCCGGCGATCCTTCTGCCTCAGCCTTCCAAGTAGCTGGAACTACAGGCGCACGCTACCACGCCCGGCTTATTTTTTGATTTATTGTAGAGATGAGGTCTCACCAAGTTGCCAGGCGGGTCTTGAACCCATAGGCTCAGGCAATTCACTCACCTCAGCTTCCCAAGGCACGATTACAGGCTGAGCCACCGAGCCCGGCTGCAAGACTTTTTTTTAAAGGCTAAAAGCTGTTCTACGGATGAGCCATTCTTCAGACACAAATTCCCTCACTTCCACCTCCCTACTTGCTCAACTAATCTTTACAAATATAGTTGAGTTGGTATTTGAGGCTTCCATGGACTACTGACCATAATTGTGTGTGAGAGCACACGGTTTCAGAATATTCCTAAGTGCTTCTCAACATTCAATGTTCATTCACTCTTAATCTGAGGGAGTAAAACTGGGTTACTTTTACCCAGAATACAGCAATCCAAGTAAAGAAGTTCTGAGGCAAAAACAGTATAAATGAGCTTTTCAATCTTTTTGAGGTATAATGGCACAAGTTTTAATACAACCACCAATCTTCACAAAATAATTTTAATGCTTTGTGCCTGGGCTAGCAGCATGTTGCACGGTGACATTCCTATACATACATAAGCATTTTATCCAAGTACAAATGTTAAAAGCAGAGTAACTTAAGCAATTGCCTATACAAAGGTAAATAGACACTGTAGGTTATTTTCTTGAATCATTTTTGCTGCATAGTAAATTGCAATTACATGTCAGTATAATGTTACTGATCTATAGAATACACTTTGAACTGTGAGGTATGACAACTCCCTATGAGAGAGCTAACATGTAAACCTGAATATTCTGAGTGATTTTTTTTGTTTGTTTTAGCTGCCACAGATGGGAAAGAGAAAAAAGAAATCCAGCATTCAAAGACCCTAGAAAGTTATTTTTCTAATCAATAAAAAAGATAAAATCTAGTGCTTCTCAGCTATGTCCAACGATTTCCTTATTGGAGCATTGCTGAATGGACGAAGAAAGTAAATACTGAGGTGAAGCTATGTTTGTTATGGGAATATGGATTAAAGTTGTTTAAAAAAAATCCGCCAGGTAACTGCTCATTTACTTTACATCAAATTGAGATAGTGATACATACATCTCAACTTTATAATTCAAGATTGCAGTTAAGTACTTCTAATTCACTTGAATTACCAGGGTAATAAGACAATTAGAAACCTTATTTTTTTTTAATAAGCACATGCTTAACATTTTCTGACATTAATTCTAATCTCAGATGAAGCACAAAATCCCCCCAAAATGAACATTCTGCTCTAAAAGTTAGTGGTTGAATTGGTAGCAAAAGCTATCATGTTTAACATTTCCACCATAGAGTAGATACAAATAAACAAATGTAACTGCTATTAAACATCTGACAGATAACAACATGAACCAACTAACTGAAGTTGGAAGGTAAGAATACTGCCATTCCAGTTTGATTATTTTCAATATTTAAGTTTCATACTTTCAAAAGGGACAGTAATGCAGTTTCCCTACACTTAGATGTAAATTCACTTTAAATCCTGTGCCCAGATTACATATTTAATGTTAAAATTGGGTGGTCACTTATACATTATTCAAATACTCTAGAAAATAAATCATGATTGGTTAAACTTAGATCATAGTTAACTAGTACAAAACATCAATGGGGATAAAGGAATCACAGAAATGAAACCAAACAGAAGTAATAAAGAACAGTAAGAGCTACCAGAAGAACTAGTTGAATATTAGGTGGACAGACAGGTTAAAAAAAAAAACAAATTGGCGATATTCTTACATCGAAAGAAACATTAAACCTCATGTTTTGTCCACATCAATATTGTATTTCAAATGATGACAGTCCCTATTTTTAGTGTTTATGAGAGACTGTCTTTAACATACAGTGCTGGGCAGGCACTTTAGTGACAACATAAAAATTACAGTGGCTAGAAAAAGTGAGAAAAATTACCAGCTATAAATTAATATCAATAACCAAATCTGCATTTTTGACCAGGCTACTGGGGAAGATATATGTTATCTATATGAAACTAATTTTCAAAAAGATCTTAAACTGCTTCATTTTTTAATCTAAGTGTACTATTATGAGGATTCTTTCAAGCAGAGTTTCTGCTGAATGAAATTACTGGATTGTAAGAGACATCCTTGCTGACCTATCCAACTGTGATCTATGTACAGCAGAGTATGTTATCTGGTACTTTACCAACTGGAGTTTTTGGACACCCAATGCAATCCTGACTCCACTAGACCACTGTACCAAATGACCACATCACACACCAGAATCTTGGACCACAACAGGGTTAACAGCACGCTGTTTTCAGGGTGGAGAAATACGGAGGGAAGGGAAGGGAAGTCAGAAGAACACCATCCGGGTCCACAGGAATGAACTCTTAGTTAACAGCAATTTTAGTTTCCACTCTCCCACTATGCTGGATAAGAAAGCTTTTACTGTACCACATCAGGGGAGGAAAGCAAAGCAAGTAACCTGGTGTAATAGGCTACTTTGCATAGTACCTCCAGGAACCAAGGGAATATATAGAAATCATTCCCATCAATAAAGCACCTCAGGAGAGGACTGAGAAAAATGAGACACAAGTGAGTTTTGTTTGTGCTACCCAAAGTCATCAACTATAAAAAGTTAAAAACACTCCTCTCTTCCCTCACATTATACTTAACAAAAATGCTTTTCTCAGAACAGCCTTTATACATATAAATAACACAGAGAACGAAATTCTATAAAGTGACTTTGTGTAAGCAAATTACGGGGGAAATATGGGTTAGCTGACTTTAAAAAACTGATTAAACTGTTAATTTAAAATACACTAGCGTTTCTCACAAATCACTTCCTCCAATATCCCCTATAAATGCATCTTCAAAGAAAAGCTTCTGAGCCAGAACAAACTCACAGACTCATTAAGACAACATAAAATGAAGGAGTAGCTCCATATTCCAAACAGTTTACTAAGGTTTCTTCAAACCTCAAACTTTCAGCTTAAACTAATTTATGATTTAAAAAGAAATGACAATAAAGGGGTAACTTTTCACTGGTCTACATACTAATTTAGAGGTCATGAGAATTTACTTTTTTTTTTAAATGATGCAAGGCACTTTTCTTTTTTGGGCTTCATTTAGGAAAAAAATAGTGCTACACTGGTTTATTATATATCCAATTTAGAACCATCTTGGACAAAGAAAAAAAGGGCTGGGCAACTGAAAAGAAATATAACATTTGGTTTTCACCCCAAAGAAATGCCAATAGGAAAGTCACTTGAAAATCTAACACTATCCTTGTTTTTAAGCACTTGGTATTATAGAGCAAAACATCTTTTTATCATAAAAACTATTTTTTTTCTATAGAATAAACAAATTAGGAAGGTAATAGGAATGAAAGCAATTAAATCATGTTAAAGTAAGTAAGGGTAGTTGGCTAGGGCCATGATTTAAAGATTATTAATAAGGGACCAAGAAGTTTAAAAAATAAAATAGTAATTAATCTACTGAATTATACTGAAAAAGAATTGTGGCAGATTCCTGCATTTTGTTAATGTTTCTGTAAGAGGTTCCATCATAAAAGTGAAGTGTAAAATTATGTTTAAAAATGTAATATATAGAACAAAAAATGAATTTTTAGCAAACCTTAGGAAATTCTTTTGCTATAAATTACCCAAACTTTATAAACAAGTCCCCCCTAACTTGCATTTTGTTTAAAGTAATAACTTTATATCATACAAATAAATTTCAAGTATGAAAAGTGCATTATTGCAATAATACCTCTTTGTAAGTCCAAAATTCTTGGTTTATAATAAAACTTGTAAAGTGTTTAAAAAAAAAAAAAAAAAGGAGTAAGACCATCAGTGCCATCTATTGCAGAAGTCCAACATCTTAAAATGTTGCTTAACAGTTGCAGAGAAACATGTCTGGAAGCAACATATAATTGAAAAGAAACTACTTGTATTTTTACCACTTTACATTATTATTATCTCTAGTATTTTCTTTTTCTCAAGTAGAAATTCACACTCTGTAATGCTGCTCTCAGTCAGCCATTCTGTGCAGTTGCCACTTGCATGTTTCCAAAATCCTCTTCTTCTTCATGTGTTCTCTTCAAACTGCCTGAAAGTTATTGCATGAAGACGAAATGGGAAAGAAAGTAACATTCATGTTAGAATGTTACAGCCAGTAAAAATGTGTTTTTCATTAAGTGATACCATGTAAATTTTCACTATGAAAATTCCAGAACTGAATTTATAGTAAACTAGTAAATTCTTTTATTATAAATTACCCAAGTAACTTCTAATCTTCAAGACAGGATGTAGTTTCCCTCCTGAGAATTAAGTATGTCTTAGGTACTGCATATATAATAAACTAATTTTTAAAACACTGTGAAAATAGACCTTTTAAAGAGATAATAATACATGAATGTTTGGTTACCAAGTTAATGCTTCTTGGGTACCATAGACATCTGACTTAGGGCACAAAATTTAAGAAATTAATATCATATTTTAAAGATTTTATAGATATAATTATCTTCTAGCTTTCACAGCCTATGCTATGCAAAGCAACGAAAATATTTTCCACTGAAGCTGTGGTTTCATTACCAAGTCTAAGGCTGGGAGAAAGGAAGTTCATGTAGCAGATAAAGAAGAGATTTTCTTTGATCTATTCTTCCCACCATAGCCTGCTATTATAGAAATCTCCAACATAGAATTCATGCTATCTCTATATGCCCAAAAAAATTGTAATCAAGAAGTTTTAATTTCAGTGGAGGAAAACTTTAAGGAACAGATAAACTAGCAAAGGGTCTGCTGTGTTTTTTGTCTAGCAATGGCATGGTCTTAAACTTATGCCCTAAAGGTCATATTACATCATGGTAATAATGTTAATTTAGGAGGCAAATTCTAACATGAAGCTTATTTTTCACTATAAGGCTAATAGAATAAAGATAAAACACAACGGAAAAAAGCAATTAAATTTCAGATGAAGTGCTGCACCTCTATGGGAACTCCAAATGGCTAGGGGCTGGAGGAAGGGTACATTAACCATCATGTTTTCCTACAGAGATGACATCTGAACCAAAAAATGGGAGACTAAATGTGATGTGGTTTAGGTGAAGAAAAGTCACACACAGGAAACCATCAGCAGTTCTGTTTTTTGGAGTGCAGACATAAAGAGATGAGACAGAAATTGAAAAATCAGAAGGGCCTTTACTACATATGACATTCTACATATTTTTCTGTAGGAATGAAATCAATGAAGACTCCCGTGAAGGAAAATTATCATTAGAAGTATCTTTCATGAAAATAATTCTGATCACAATGTACAAAACAGACCAAATAACAAGATCTTGGATAGGATGCCAATCTGGACCTGAGCTAGATTACTCTATAAAAGGGAAAGAATGTTAAGATACTGACAAAACAGACCCTATAGGATCTGGCAAATAATTAGAGGTAGCAAAGGAAAGAAATGAGTCAATGACAACTAGGAAGTTGAGTCTGAGAGGGGACTATCTAGCCTTATCATTATAGGCAGTGCAGTACAGTGGAAAGAGTTCTATACTTGTGGATCAGATCACCTATTCTCAATTTCCAGGTCAACACTAACTAGGTAAATAGCCTGTTCTTCCTGTCTTATGTAACTGTTGGTTTAAAGACTGAAATGAACTGTGGGGTAGTAAAACTAAATAATAAAAATGCTATGGGTACTCTGATAAAGTAAAAACAAAGGAGACAAGGGTAGCAAGGTCTTGGAAAAGGTAAAAAAGTTAAAAGATTTTGAGAATGGCATGCTTTGATTGATAACTTTGAAAACGAGGGGTTGGGGTGCTTCTGAAACAGCAAAGGAGAGGAGAAAGGATTGAAATATTGATGGCAAGTGAAAAACTGAGGTAGCTCACATTAGCCACTCTACTAAACTTGAAACAGTCATTCATTTACAGAGACCAGGTTTCATTCTGTTGCCCAGGCTGGAGTGTAGTGGCACAATCACAGCTCACTGCAGCCTTGAACTCCTTGGCTAAAGCAATCCTCCCACCTCAGCCTCCTGAGTAGCTAGGACTATATATGTGTGCCACCACATCTGGCTAATTAAAATTTTTTTTGTAGAGATGAGGTCTCGCAATGTTGTCCAGGTTGGTCTCAAACTTCTGGCCTCAAGTGATCCTCCTGCATTGACCCCCAAAGTGCTGAGATTATAGGTGTGAGCCACTGCACCCATCCTCATTCACTAAATATCCTTTATTTTTTAATAAGATCACCTAAGTGTGCTTAGGGACCCTTCTCCAGATATTCCTTATTATTTTTCATCTTTTCAACACAGTTGTACTAGTTAAGAGATTAAAATCTAAACCAAGTATATACCTCATCTTCCAACCAGCATATTCTAATTGACTAGACACAGCTGATAGTATAAACACAGCAGAAGCTCATTATACACACTTAGTCATTATACAATTAATGCCTAAATTAATTGTATAATGACTAAATTTTTAAAACACTGAAAACAGACCTTTTAAAGAGATAATAATACATGAATGTTTGGTTACCAAGTTAACACTTCTTAGACACCATAAACATCTGACTTATCTTGTTTTCATTCAGTAGTTCAACAAGAGTTTTCTAAACAATTTAAATTGTTCAGTAACACGTTCTCTGCCTTGATCATTCTTCCCAACTTCCTTCAAAAAGAAAAATCCCTTACCTGTGGTACCAGAATGAACAGATAATGACCTTTCTATCTGGAGTGGTGACATCATCTGTATTGTTAATTTTGCTAGGTAGATAGCTTCATATTCCTAAAAAAGATTTTAATTACCTTGATTATACATTTACATTCCTGGATATCCAAAACTGCGATGAATGTGTACATTATTGGTATTCTTAGTTTACAATGAAAAATATGGTGCCATATTGTAAGAGAAACAGAAGTTTAAAATTCCTATCATAATTTCAAGACTACTGATAACTATACATCAAGTCAGGCCAACAGCCTGTATCTACATACACTGAACTGCCAGCCAGTATATGTTGCCTGCCACATTAGCTATGATTAATCATTAGCTGTTAGCTATTATTAATCTCTCACTCCATCAGTTAAAAAAAAAACACCCTATATTGGCGATATCAATAGCCTTCTGTTTCTAGTTAAAGATGAAGGAATAAGGCATTTTGTTCCTCTCCTTTTCTAAAAACAAGGAAAACAACTTATGAAACTAATAGTATTCATAACTCTGAGTATAAGAAGAATGAGAAAAGTAAGGAATTGATTACCAGTTGGTCAGGATTTACAGTTGGTCACTTTTACAAAGGGAGGAGGGGAGTTGTGCTGTAAGTATGGATAGTAAGGTGGAGGAGAAATTGGTTTGCAAGTAGCCAAGCATCAGTGATCTGGGATGGCTAAAAGTAAAGGCTAAACCAGTAATGTTAGCCTGGCCATAAAAGAGAATCACCTCTGAGGCACTTTAAAACACATATACACACTCAGGCCCTGTTCTCAGTGATTTTTCACTTAATTGGCATGGGTAAGGATTCCCCAGGTGATTCTAAAGTGCATCCAGTGCTTATCAATTTGAAAATAGTGCGGTGGCATAAGGAGCGTTGCTTCTTACCCACTCAGTCATGCTACCAGAGAAAGCTGAGAACACTCAAGCTGTCTTTCCCAAACATCCCTCTGGCCCACAACTTTACTCATGGGCAAACTGCTAGCCTAAAATGAATACTTCCAGTTATCAGATGAACACCAATAAAAAGAGAACCAGTGTAAGTCTTAATCAAGGATTTTGCAAGGAGAAAAAAGCAACATTATAACCAAAAGGCATAAAGAATACACCATGAAAATTACATCAAAGCAGATAAAAATTTCTAACAAGTTAATCAAAGCCAATATGGCCGCTATGGGACTGAATGTTTGCACCCCCTAAAAATTCCTATGCTGGAATCCTAACCCTAAATGTGACGGTATTAGGAATTGAGGCCTTTAGGGGTAATTAGGTTTAGATGAGGTCATGATGACAAAGTCCCAATGGTGGAATTAGTACCCTTACAATAATACAAAGATACTTCTTATTTCCGCTCACCCTCGCCTTGTGAGGGCACAAGAAGGCAGTGACCTATAAGCAGGGCAGAGTGCACCAGGAAATGAATTGGCTGGCACACTGATCTTGGACTTCCCGGCTTCCAGAACAGAAATATACAAGTGTTTCTTAAGCCACCCACGCTATGGCATTTTGTTACAGAAGTCTGAGCTAAAACAATGGCATTTCTGCAATGAGTTCAAAGACGTCTCAAATGACAAAAGGAAATGACATATCAACTATCAAGGCCCAACAAAGAAATGGAAGAGAGAAAAAATATAAAACCACAGAAATAGTGAACAGAAGAAATCAACAAAGAGATCATAACATGCAATCATGGCAAAATATTAATTTCTACTGGATTGTTCCAGTTAGCACATAGATATGTTATACTTCTTCTCATCTTAGAAAACAAACAAAAACCCTCTCTTAACCCCAGTTCTCCCTCCACTTACTATTTCATTTGCTTTCCCTTATGAAATGAATGATTACATAGATTTGTAAAACCATCCAAAGTCAGCTGAAGAGTATCAGAAAATCAAACCAAATTACTAAATGAAGTAACCAGTCCAAGAATTGGTACATGCTCAAAATATATGAATAAAATAATGAATAATGGAATAAAAGAAAACATTAAGGTCAGATGACTTCACATGTGCCACATACTAATGCATAAAGAAACAGATAATTCCAATCCAAATTAAACTGTCACAGGGCACAAAGAGAAAAGAAAAGCTACCATTTTAAAAATAAGAACATTGAGACAGGAACTAAAACCAGAAAATGGTAGCACACACACACACACAAAATTACACACCATTATTACTTATTCAAGTGATTCCAAAATCCTGAAAAAAACATATTAGCAATAGAATCCAGTAACACGTTAAGAGAACAGTCTACCATAACCAAGTGGGTCTAATATTGGGAAATCTAGTATATTGTGATCCAATACTTCAACTCATCATATTAATGGCTCAAACATATAAAACTATTCCTTTGAATATTACATGAATATATTTTTTAAAAAGTCAAAAATCGTATCTATTCCCGACTTAAAAAAACTCAACAGAAAAATACATATTAATACACATACAGAGTATAACACTAGAAGCACTGGTATTAAAATAGAGAATAAAGGGCGCAAGTGGTATATATCAGTAGCCCCAGGCAACACAGGAGGCTGAGGATTGTTTGAGCCCAGAATGGGCAACATAGTTAGACATAGCCTCTTAAAAAAAACAAAAAAACAACAAAAAAAAACAACAAAAAAACATTGTTCTGATACAAAGGACACCCAATGAAAAAGAAGTAAAAATTAAATTAGAAAGGTGGTAAAACTATCATTTGAAAATGAAATCAAAGTCAGAATAAACGAATTTAGTAAAGTTTGCAACTGAAAGCTTAATAAAAATCAACATATACAAATAACCACAGAAAAAACATACTGGAAGAAAAAAAATTTCATTTATAATGGGAATAAAAGAGTACCTAGGAATACATTTCATAAGAAATGCTTATGCTCTCTACAAAGAACACCTCAAAACTCTAAAGGACATAGAAATCGACCTGAAGTCTTCTCTGAAATGCAATCTCAGAAAAGACAAAATGCAAAGGTATCAATTCTTTCTGAACTATCAATGGAGAGACAAAACTCTTTAAAAATACCTATAAGACTCTTTCCAATAAAGCTCATAACAAAAAGTGTTAAGAACTCACCTGGAAAATCCTGGAACATTAATATGAGGGGGCTCTCGAGTCACATCATACAAGATTCATTTAAAATTACAGAATTTTAAATGGTTTCATATAGGTATAGAGACACACAGATCAATGGAACAGAATACAAAGTCCAAAAGTAGACCCAAGTATAGATCTGAATTTGATATATAACAAAAATGCTATTTCAAATCAATGAGATAAGGATAGATTTTCTTAATATACAAGGAGCTCTTACAAACCAGTGAGAAAAAGATCAACAATTGATAGAAAAATGGCAAAGAACAATCGATTCACACACACACACACACACACACACACACACATACACACACACAAATACAAATAACTCAAACATGGAAAAAGAAGTCCAAATTCATTCAATCAGCGGGAAACAAATTAAAACCATAATGAATTGCCACTTTTATGGCCATAATGACAATGATAAAAAAGTGCGATCAAATATTTTTGGCTACTGGTATTGACTAGAGTAGGAGGAAACAGGCATTCCTTGTTTCCTAGTGGTGCAAGTTTACATTATTTCATCATTTTTAGAGGTAATTTGGAAACATCTATGAAGTTTCAAATGCAGCCTAATCCAGCAATTCTACCTAATCAATTTTCTTACTCGTATATTCATATGTGTACACAAAGATGTACCTCTCAGGATATCTTTCCAATATTGTTTATAACTATGAAAGATTTTGCCAGCCTGGGTAACATGCTGAGACTTTGTCTCTACAATAAATGAATAAATAAATTAGCCGGGTGTGGTGGCATGCACCTGTAGCCCCAGCTGTTTGGAAGGCTGTGGCAGAAAATTGCCTGAGCCCAACAGGGTTGAGGCTGTGTTGGTTGATACTGAGATGGTGCCACTCCAGCCTGGGCTAGAATGAGACTCCAACTCAAAAAAAAAAGAAAAAGGGGAAAAAAAAAAATCTGAAAGTCCTTAAATAAGACCAGTCATGTAAAATTGTGATATGTATTTTATTATAAAAATATTAAGCAGATAGGGCAACATGTGCTATCATAGACTGATCTTTAATATATACTATTAAGGAGACTTATGTGACATCATATACTCTTTAGGCACTGCTAAACTTTAATTTTTTTAACCATATACGTATATTACTCTTTCAAATAAAAAAACCCATAAAGAATAAAAAGAAACATTTTATATAAACAGGTTGAAAACAGAGCTACTACTGTTTCTCTTTTGAATGAAGTAAAAATAGTCATTTACCATTAAAATGAAATCTAAAGTTTGATAACTGAAACAATCCATTTTATAATGCTCTTGATGTCTCAATGGAAGCTTTATCTCTGTATAACTGGATGTAATTAGCCAGCGCACATTCTTCAGTCTATGATTTTCCCTCTTGGAAAAAAGCAATAACCTGGTCTAATCAGATTAATTCACCAGTTTATATTATTGTCTCTTTCATTGCATCTGCCAGGCATCAACAAAGTTTGAAATAACATGTAAAGATGAACATAAAGAACAGAAAAAGCTGGCTGGGCACAAAAGCTTCCATCTGTAATCCCAGCTACTTGGGAGGCCAAGGAGTACTGCCTGAGCCCAGAAGGCTGAAGCTGCAGTGAGCCGTGATCATGCCACTGTCCCCTCCAGCCAGGGTGACAGAGTGAGACTCAGACTAAAAAAAAAAAGAAGAATAGAGAAACCTGTCATATTAAATAAACTTAGACTCAAAACTCTCTTATATTCTGTGATCAAAATTAAAAAAAAATTGAAGAAATTTCTGGCATTGATTATTTTACAAGATTTAATAATGTGCCTTTAATCTTTTTCTTTGTAATGCAGCTTTAAGAAAATACTTTTAAATAGAGATGTAAACTTAAGTAAAGAATCAAACTAGAAAGATTATGGCAATTTTGATTATTTACAAAATAAATCCTACACCTAAGTTACATGACAAAAGATTTAACTATCTTATTTTCTGACTGCCTTGAAAAAAGGAGAAGTTACCTGAAGCTGATGGACAAATCCAGCATTAGGATTAATACAAAATCTTCTTTCTTGAACATAAGCGAATGCATCTCTGAAAAAAGAAAATTAATGTGATGACACTTCTTTATGAATTCTTGTTTCCCAGAATTTACCTAAAATATGAACTTAACTAAAATTTTGCCTATGAGAGGAACTCACCATACAATTCAGCACTAAAGCGGGGAAGTGAGCTGTATTGGAAAAAGCATGGTCAGACTAAATACCACAACCCCTTTGCTCACCAGCTGTGTGTCTTAGGGAAACTTCTCTAAGTTTTATTATTTTTCATTGGTAAAATGAGAAATATAATAATATCTATTTTGGGGGACTACTGTGAATGGGAAGTAGTAAGTGTAAAGCACTTCTGTGCACGAGCACATGCTAGAAATATCATCATCAATTAAATGAGAAGCATCTTTACTTCCCTGTGTGGTTGTGAAGCTTAGATGAGACAAAGTGCTAGAACAGGACTGGGATCATAGCCGAGACTCAATAACGGAAGTTATTTTCACTATTAATATTCTTACTGGCAAGATTCCAAAGAAGGGAATATATAAAACATAAAGTTCATCAATGCATGTTACATCTGTTTTCAATTAAATAAGCAAAGCATTTATATTCAAGTAATATTCCTTTAAGAACTGACCATTTTAAGCAAAGCTCTCCATTATATGTTAGAAATAAAGAGAGAATTAAATAGAAAGAGGTGTTAGCTGGGTGCAGTGGCTCAGCCTATAAACCCAGCACTTTGGGAGGTAGGTAAGAGGTAAGAGGACTGCCTGAGCCCAGGAGTTCGAGACCAGCCTGGGCAACTTGGTAAGCCTTTGTGCCAGGCACAGTGGCGTGTGCCTGTAGTCCCTGCTACCGGGGAGGCTGAGGCTGGAGGATCGCTTGAGTCCAGGAATTCTGGGCTGCTGTGCGCTATGCCGATCGGGTGTCTGCACTAAGTTCGGCATCAATATGGTGACCTCCCGGGAGTGGGGGACCACCAGGTTGTCTAAGGAGGGGTGAACTGGCCCAGGTCAGAAATGGAGCAGGTCAAAACTCCCGTGTTGATCAGTAGTGGGATCGCGCCTGTGAATAGCCACTGTACTCTAGCCTGGGCAACATAGCGAGACCCTGTCACTAAAAAAAAAAAAAAGACTTCATATCTGTAGTTCCAGCTACTGGGAAGGCTGAGGCAGAAGGATTGCCTAAGCCCAGTAGGTTGAAGTTGCAGTGGCCGTGAGTGTGCCCCTGCACTCCAGCCTGGGCGACAGAGTGAAACTCTGACTCAAAAAAACCCCCAAGAACCAAAAAATGAAAAACCAAGGCAAGCACTAATATTTGTGTCCAAGCAAGCACTAATATTTGTTTTTAAACACAGACTAGCTAAAATTCCTTTATAGTAAGTAAGTAGTTTTCCACAGCTGATCTCATCTATAATGGTTTATCTTGGCTTCTTAAAATAACTAGTTAGCAACAGCTCCATAAAACCACAAACCTATTAGCCTAAGCAGATCTACACAGGTAGATAAATTGGGCTAAGAGATGAACCACAGGATAAAGGCCTACCTAATCAAACATGATTATGTGGAAAAAAAAAAATCAGTGGAGTGTTAACTTCAAACACCCAAGACGTTGTTATTAAGTTTCATTTGAATGAGAATGTAAACTGTGGCTAGGCTTCAGAGTCCTTTCTTACCTGTACTTCATTCCATATGTTTCCATGATGTATGCAATAACAAAGGCGGCACTGAAGAGCAGAAAAAAATTTTTTAGAGAAAAACATAAAACCCAACTCAACATTATATGTTAGAGAAAGAAAATTATCGCTGGGCGCAGTGGTTCATGCCCATAATCTCAGCACTTCGGGAGGCTGAGGTGAGAGGACTGCCTGAGCTCACAGGTTTGAGACCAGCCTGGGCAACTGGTGAGACCTCATCTCTACAATAAATTAAAAAAAAAAAATTAGCCTGGTGTGGTGGCACGTGCCTGTAATGCCAGCTACTTGGAAGGTTGAGGTGGAAGGATCACCTGAGCCCAGCAGGTTGAGGCTGTGGTGGACGGGAGCATGCTCCTGCCCTCTAGCCTGGGCGACACAGTGAGACTCCAACTCAAAAAAAAAAAAAAAAAAAAGAAAATTTTCTCTGACTTCATTCATACCTTCTGGAGATCCCTGCATTTCCATGCACAAGTACTTTTCCTGAAAAACAATAAATAGTTATTCTGATAAAAAACAAAACAAAACACCTGAGTCACCAGCTCAACTATATGGAAACCATATAGCATCATCAAATAAATCTTTCCTTAAGCATTTTATATCATATACACACAACATGGATATTTAATACTTTTCAAGTCTTTACAATGTATTTATATTAACTGTGTAGAGAACACAAGAGACTTTTGGTTTAAAAAATTTGGAGCTTGCAGAGAATTTGAAAACAGTTCTACAGAGATATTTAAGAAAGTCTATCCAAATGAAATAAGTAGTTGAGAAAAGGCAAGTTTGGGAGTAGTGTTATATATAATTAATATGATTACAAGTTCCATATCCTGCATTTTAAGACAATACAAATTTTAAAAATTAACTAATAAATAATCCCCTAAAAATAAATTTTAGCTCAGTAAAGGAAATATTGTTTACCTCCAGTTTGTAAGCTCCCATCAATAAATTCTTTAGACTGAAGGTAAAAGACAATGTGTTATAATTAAACATGTGGGTTAACATAAGCATAAAATAAATATATACAGTAAAATAAAAGGAAATCTATTAAAAACAAATTTTTCCTAATTTATATTTTTTAAAAATTATCTTAATTTGAGAATTTCCAAAATGTACAAATATAACTATTAAAAGTCAAAAAAATTATACAGGGGCTAAAATTTAATTTGAATCTAATAAACCCAAAGTATAATTTTTCATATTTTGAAGATCATAAAAATTTTTCAAGAATTCATTTTAAAAAATACAGCTTTCAGTCATAACAAAGTAGTGCATTTTAGAACTACAATTAAGAAGTCAAACCATAAATAAATTTTAAATGATTATCTTTAAAATATTGATACCTACCATAGGGAAAAAACGTATTATATTTTCAACTGGATTATCTGCAATATCCAAGACTAAATATCTGAAAATAGAATATTTGTGATAAGCACACATTAAATAAAACTATGTATAAAAAACACTAACTTTGACTATTGATAACCATAAAAAGAATGCAAAACAACTTTCAAAGTATTATATTTCTAAGAAGTGGGTCATAGATTTTTATATTGCTTGAAGGCATAGCATTGCAACTTAAATAACATGTTAACATCTCTGATATGTTAGTATTAAAAAAATCTATCTGGTTAAAATAGAACAATCCCAATCAGGATTTCTCTAGATCAAAGAAGACCAAGATATAAAGACAAAAAGTATCCCTAATCATTACTGTTTTACCAATTTTCCTAAGACCAGAAGACTATTCTCTAAGTGGTCTGGTGATCCCTTTTCCTAACCCTATATAGGACATTTTCCAGGAAGCCCAAAATATCTGAAAGAGAAAGAGCTAATAAAAACAGAAGGCAGCTATCTGATGGAACAGAAATGTTACTTTAGAAAACACTTAAAATAAGGCATTATTAATATATGAGGCTTATTTTATTTTGTGAAAAACTTCCACTTCTAACCTATCTGAGCCAACCTGCTGTTTATTAACACACATACAGGTAACTGACTAGTTTATGAAATTAGGTTTTAAGGTCAATTTTGCTTTAAAAATTTCAGTTCTTCAAAGATAATTTAAGTTGTAACAACTTCAAAACATTTAGGGCTTAATACAGAGAAGCTGAAGCTCAGGATTTAAAGTAAACTCAATGCTCAATCCACAAGGATTCTGACAACTTGTATCCTAAAGTTATTGGGCTGCTGCCCTGTTATATAACACAATGCTTCAAGGGAAAAAAGTTGACACCAAGTCAATTTAAAGTATTTTAACGCATGCCATTTTTAACACAAGAACAACTAGTAGAGTTGTCAATCTAAAAGAAGCTAGTACTATGGGTCTAAGGAGAAATGCCTCTTCCATTAGTATAAAGAACCTGCACCAAGATCATTTTGTTACTAAAAACAGTAATTGTATGCAAAATAGAAATGTATAGCATGACAGTGTAAAACACAACATTATCGTTGTCTTTTACAGACAAATCTCTATGTGTGTCATAAATACACAAACATGACAAAGAAAGATTTAGGATGAAATATACCGAAGTATTTTTTTCTAGATTGTGAAATTGTGAACATATGTTTCTTGGTGTCATTCTCTACCTTTCAAAGTATCTATAAAGAACAAATCTTTCTTTCACAACTAGAAAAAAATGTTATATTTTATAGAATACAGATGTTCCCTTTTTTTTTTTTGAGTCAGAATATCACTCCGTTGCCCAGACTGGAGTGCAGTGGCACACTCATGACCACCCCAGCATTGACCTGCTGGGCTCAGGTGACCCTTCTGCCAAAGTCTTCCAAGTAGCTGGATCTATAGATGCGCATTACCACGCCCGGCTAATTTTTCTATTTTATTGTAGAGATGAGGTCTTGCCAAGTTGCCCAGGCTGGTCTCGAACCACGTGGGCTCAGGCAATCCTCTCGCCTTTGACCTCCCAAAGTGGGATTACAGGCTTTGAGCCACCACACCCGGCCCAGATGTTCCCTTTTTAAAATTAGTTTTAATAAACTGAAAAAAGTTTGCACATGGTAAAAAGAAAATTCTAACAGTATAAAAGTATATACAGTCAGCCCTCTGTATTTGTGTATTTCACATTTGTGGATTTAACCACCCATGGATCAAAAACATTAACAACAAAAATTGGTCAGGCACAGCGGCTCAGTTTGTAATCCTAGCACTTAGGGAGGCCAAGGATCCCTTGAGCCCAGAAATTCAAGACCAGCCTGGGCAACATAGTAAGACCTTGTCTCTAGAAAAAGAATAAAAAAAAATTTTTAAATTAAGTTTAAAAAACCCCCAATAATACAGATAAAAATACAGTATAACAATTATTTACATAGCCATTTACAATGTATTAGGCATTATAAGTAATCTTGAGATGATTTAATGTATGTGAGAGGATGTACATAGGTTACAGGCAAACATTTGCCATTTTATATAAGGAACTTGAACATCTGAGGATCTTGGCATTGGGAGGGTAAAGGAGGATAGAGGAGTCAATTCACCCAGGGATACTGAGGTATGACTACCATGTAAATTAGGTCTCTTTACTATCTCAGACCCTAAATTTTCCTTCTCAGAAGCAATCACTGTCAAGTTTCTAGTCTGTTGGTCTAAAAATTACTAATTTAATAAATCTATTTATATTTATTCCTATTATACAAGAATATATATGCTTAATGCATTGTGTGTGTGTGTGTGCGTGCGTATAAACACATTAGGAATATACATATGGTTCTACACTGCTTTTTTCTATACACTGTAACGTATCCTGGAGATCATTCCAAATCAATACACATAGATATATTTCATTCTTTTTCATAGCTACATAGTAGTCTATTGTATATTCACTATATATATATATATATATATTGAGATGGAGTCTCACTCTGTCACCCAGACTAGAGTGCAGTGGCCGCTCCTGGCCACCGCAGCCTCGACGTGCTGGGCTCTGGCGATCCTTCCACCTCAGCCTTCCAAGTAGCTGGAACTACAGGTGCACGCTACCACGCCTGGCTAATTTTTGATTTATTGTAGAGATGAGGTCTCACCAAGTTGCCCAGGCAGGTCTCGAACCCGCGGGCTCAGGCAATCCACTCACCTCAGCCTCCCAAAGGCGTGGGATTACAGGCTGAGCCACCGAGCCTGGCTCACATAATATATTTTACAGTGTCTTATATGTATGGCTATTTATAGGTTGTACATTAGAAATCATCAGATGCTCAACCACATTTATCATAAGCTACATAAGCAAGTTAAATTAAAACTACATGAGACGCAATGCTTACTCAACTAGACTCACAAAAATTAAAAAAGTTTTAATTTTGGAGAGATACCAATGAAAGAGTCACTCTCATAAACTTGCTAGTGGGAATGTAAACTGATACAACTCACTAGAGGACAATCTGCAACATTGATAACAATTTAAAATCCACCAATCTTACTTCTACAAGTCTGCCCTAGTAAGTAAGATACTTACATACAAATTAAATAACATGTACAGGGACAGTCATTTTATGCTATATATATTAGTAAAAGTCTGGAAGCAATCTAAATGTCCAACAATAGACTGATTGAAATAAGTTTTAGTATAGCCATGCAATGGATTACAATGCAACTTAACAAAGTCAGTGTAAAAAACAAGAATTTATCTATAGGAATATGCTTGCATATGTAACATCCATATTATGGATATGTTATGGAAGGATACTTAATAAAGATGCAACAGTAGGCCATTGCCTTGCTAGACTCTGGAGTGGCCATGTGCTCTTTGAACTATGGCTGTCGCCATGCCTCCTGGCTTTGGCCCCCTCCCCCGCCTTGGGGAGGTGAATCTTCTCTCTCCCTTCTCTTTCTAATTTACTTTTAAATAAACTTTTCTTTCTTTGTCTCTTAAAAAAAAAAGATGTAACAGTAGATGTCTTGAAGGAGGGAAATAGAGGGCAGGAATTGGGAAACCTACTTTCTAGCATACATTCTTTTGAACCTTTAGAATTCTGCATTATGAGCATACATTATTTTTTTTCAATATTTTAAATAAAATTTACTTTAAATTATGACCCATCTTTACAAACTCATTATGTACAGATGAAAATCAGCTCATGTAAAACCTGAAATAAAACTTCATTAAATGTTTGCTACCCATAACATTTTGTTATAAATCATAGTAGTAATTCTTACCTAAATAATTGTTGAAAGTTTGGTTTAATAAAGTTTGCTTCAATATTTTGTCGTATGCATATTATATGTGTTATTCCATGTTTCTGTAGAACAGGTAGCTGTAAAAAAAAAAAAAAAGGGAGGGAGGACAGGAAAGAGAAGTAGTTTAACCTGAGCCCAAATCTCTAGACTATTTCAAGTATAAACTATACTGAGTTTATAATCCTATATAATTAATTTCCACTTTTTGCATTAAATAATCCAGAGCAATACTAATAATTCAAGAGCAAAGTAAAAAATACCTTATATGCTATGAAGTGAATGTTTGTATCACCCCAAATTCATATGTTGAAGCCCTTACATCCTAAGATGTGATAAATGATGGAGGCTTTGGAAGGTACTTAGTTTTATATGAGACCATGAGGGTGGAACCCCCATATTGGGATTAGAATCCATATAAGAAGAAGAGACCATGTCAGGATACAGCAGGAAAGCAGGAGTCTACCAGCCAGGAAGAGGCCCTCACCAGAACTGGACCGTGATGGCACCTTAGTCTTGGATCTCCCAGTCTCCAGAACTGAGAGCTTATAACTTCCTGTTGTTTAAGCCACCCAATCTATGGCATTTTGTTAGAGGAACCTAAGCCAAGACTGTATGATTTTCAAAAGTTTTAAATGTTAATTTTTTGCAGCAAATTTTCTTATGTCAGCATAGAGAGAGTTCAATTATCATTTTTCCTGAGCACATCCTAAGTTAGGGAAAGTACAGTAAACATTTGGTGGGATTAATAATTAACCAATGTTCTCTATTCACATTTATGCCAATCTCAAATGAATCCAAGATTCATTGCTTCATTTACACTTGGTCTATAATAGAATTTTTATATCTACTTCATTAATGTGAGGAACTACAAAGTGACATTAGAAAATTGTGGTTAGAAACATGTTTTAACAAGCTTTGAAAAAACATAAGGCAACTACTAAGTAAAAACAAACCTAAGTTAAAAAAAAACACAAAAAACCCTAATACAATAGCAAACAGATTTTATACTTTTCAATAGATTTGTTATATAAAGCAAATTATGACCTCACCTTATATGTACCAACGGAAGAAAAATTTTATAAAAAGAAGTAATTCACTAGTTACAAAATTCCTAAATTTGAACCTTTTATTTAAACTGTATCTGAATGTAATAAAAAATATACTTAAGTAAATGTGGCCAGGCATGGTGGTTCAGGCCTATAATCCCAGCACTGGGGAGGGAGGATTGCTTGAGGCCAGGAGTTCAAGACCAGCCTGAGCATCATAGCCAAACCCTGCTTCTACAAAAGAATCTTAAAAACTAGATTTCTTTCTCTTCATTTTTATTTTTTTAACTTGTTTTTAGATGATGGTATAAAAAGGAGTATGGGCTATAGTAGGGTGACTCAGGGTGGGAAACATAAAATACTGTCATAGAAGCTTTTCCTCAGTCTAATAAGACCATGGTGAAATTTTGAGAGAAGAGGTTTTGAGGAGATAGCTCTATAAACAAATACCTTAATGAGGTAAATACTATAGTATGTATATTTATAAAGTGCAGTGGGAATAAAAAAGCAAATTACCCAAAACCACCTGAAACGCCAGTATTTGATGAACAGTACATTATATGGGCATTAACTTCATTTATATTCATCTTTTACAAAATAAGTTACAACCAAGTTACATCAGTTTCCTAGTACTTATTTTTACCAACTCCCTATCTTTCTAACTTAGCTATATGTCATCAAAATGACCAGAGTTCTGCCTTGACAATAAAATATATTCCAATTTCGAGATGAATGACATTTTAAAACTCCCAACTCTCTAAAATTTGTAAGAACATCAAATAGAAATATCATACACAATTTAAGTATACTGACTTCTGAACAGGCAAACTAGGGGACAGACATTTGTGACACATTTCTCACTGTACCTAAAAACAAATCAGTAGCATTGTCATAATTCATAGATCTAAATCCTCTAGAAGTGGAAGAACATCTGCTATGTAGTATATATTAAAATTAGATATAACTATTTTAATTGTGCAACTGAAGAAGTCCATTACACTTTGACTATATAGGCTATCTACACAGGTTGAGCACCTCTTATTTAAAAAGCTGGGGCCAGAAGTGTGTCAGATTTTAGATTTCTTAAAAATTCTGGAATATTTGCATTATACTTACTGGTTGAACATCCCTAATCCAAAAATCTGAAATCCAAAAATCTCTAATGAGCATTTCCTTTGAGCAATATGTTGGCACTCAAAAAATTTTGGAGCATTACAGATTTCAGATTAAAGATGCTCAATCTGTATAGTGCAATGTTTTCTAACCTGGAGCATCCCAGATCTCAAAAGTCTGGAAAAACAGAAATAATATGAATCACTTTCAATTAAAAAACACATATACTTTTACCGTTGATAAGGAGGTTTAACTAAACACTGAATTTCCTTAGTTTGGGCTTTAACTGTATCTCATGTTGTGTAGAAGTTATGATTAATAACTGCAGATGTTAGGCAGTAAAGAAGTTAAAGGCCAACTATTTGGTAAATCTTTAAAATATATAAATTTTATGAGAAAAATAAAACATAAAAACTCTTTATGGTTTGTGAAAAAAATCTGAGAATTACTAGTCCAGTAAAATTGGATAAGAGGAAATTACTTTGCCGTGACAATTACTGTTTACACACATTATCTGTGGATGCTCCCTAAAATAAAACTCTTTATTACTGAAAAACTTACCCAAGAAAAGTTGGTTAATAGAGTATCTTGTGAACCTAATCTAAAGTTCATACCTTGCTTTTCATAGCAGATGAATATGGGCCTAAGAACAATCCAGGTAATATTTCCTAGAAAAAAAATTGAGATATTTACCATCAGCCACTTATATCTATACAAAATATGTACCATATTTTGAAACTGAATTTATGGGATATTTTCATAGCTGTTATAATAATTTGCTCAAGAGTTTGCTTTTGTAGGAAGCATTTCCTAGCCACAATGAGCAAACGATTGGGAAGAAAAATGTCTATGTGCTTTATAATATCAAATGAAACATTCTGAGATTAAATATAGTTCTGAAAAGTCAGCATCTGAACTTCTACAGTGCTTGTTATAAGCAGTTGGATAGAATATATTGAATTGTTGCCTTTTAGATTAATAAAACTACTAGTAAAACAGGCATAAGGGAAATCTTCCCTTTGGAATCTCACAAAACCTTATTCAGCCAAATACAAAGCAGCACAAGTTACAACAGGCTTATAACTATCATCTACAGCGAACAGAAGTAAACTACTATCCTCAAACATGTACCTGTTGACAAGGTTTCAACAAATTAAATAACAACTTTCCAAATGCTGCATTCACATTTATTCTATAAAAATTCAATATAGAAAGCTTTCAGTCTAGGCAGGGTGTAGTGGCTCATGACTGTGATCCCAGCATCTTAGAAAACTGAGGTGAGAGAATTGCTTGAGCCCAGGAGTTCGAGACCAGCCTAGGCAACAGAGAGAGATTGTGCTACTGTACAACAGCTTGGGCAACAGGGTGAGACCCCAACAACAAAAAAGAAAGTCTTCAGTCTAGATAATTATACTCTAGATACTAATATAGTGTGACTTTACAGCTCAGTTCTGTAAGACATAACTATTGATGTATAGCGGGGGTCCCTAATGCCCCCAGGACCACAGAACAGTACCAGTCCATGGCCCATTAAGAACCAGGCCACACAGCAGGAAGCAAGCGGCAGGTGAGTGAGCAAAGCTTCATCTGTACTTACAGCTGCTCCCCATTGCTCACTTTATTGTCTGAGCTCCGATTCTTGCCATATCAGTGGTGGCGTTAGATTCTCATAGGAGCAGAAACCATATTGTGAACTGTGCATGCAAGGGATCTATTTTGTGGCTCATTATGAGAATCTTATGCCTGATGTTGTGAGGTGAAGCTGAGGCGGTGATGCTAGTGCTGGGAAGCAGTTGCAAATACAAATTAACACGAGCAGTGAGGTCTGACTGCACAGAGACAATAAATCAGTTGCTTGTAGACTCATTGAAACCCTATCAGTGAGTGGCCAATGATTGGATGCACTTCAATTGCACAGCTGCATCTGGTGGCAGGCTTTAAGTCACAATCCGACACTTACTTTAGTCCCTGCATGGCCTGCCTATTATTTTATTTACCACTTCCATCTGCACCTTTTTTTAATGAGTTGTGTAATTATTTAATTACATATTAAAATGTAATATTAATAGAAATAAGGTGCACAATAAATGTTATGTACTTGAATCCTCCTGAAACCATCTCCTTCCCCAAGTCTGTGGAAAAACCTGTTTCCCACAAAATTGGTCCCTGATGTCAAAAAGGTTGGGGACCACTGGTATATAGGACTGATTTCTCCCACTAGCTTCTTGTGGGCAAAAATTACATTTTGCTCATCTTTGCACCCCCTCTAATAGCACCAAGTAAAATTCCTCATAAGTACTCAACAATTTTTAAAAAGTGAATTTTCATTAAGAGAGAAAGGTAACAGATTTTTAGAAGTCAAAGAATTCCCAGGAATAAGACACTGTTAATCCGGGGCCAACTGACTGTAAATGGTAAAAAATGCAAAAGAAAATGAACGGCTATGAAGGTTAGCTACCATTTTAATTTTATTTCACTGCAAACTGGAAATATTCAACTTGTTCTTCTGGATGACTTAATTATAAAGTTGATTGAAAGACACAAAAATGAACAATTATTTAAATGCCTAACTTGCTGTACAGTCAACTCTTCTAAACTTATCCCAACTAGGCAGAGAAAACAAACTGCTTTCAAAGGAACATAAACACAGTATCCAATTTTTCACATTCGGAAAAAGAAGGCAATTCATTAAGCACATACTATTTTGCTGGTACTACACTAACCTAACCTCTCATCTTTTCAGAACCAAGATTAACCTTAAATATTTAAAACAATTATTATTTAAAATACTTAGTCATAAAACTACAACCAGTAGGTCTCAAATCCTTTGTAAAATTAGGTTGCTATTTAACAATGATAATAATATAGGTTGGCTTGAACAAAGCAAAAGGTTGCCATACCTGCATCTCTCGTCTCATTGGATAGGTCCACTCCTTAAAAATGGAAGAAAAAACAGGAATAAAAGTAAATAACACTTAAAAAAAAAAAGTCACCCAATTAAAGGTTAAAGTTGTGACATACAAGTATTTTTAAAAGCTATACTACATTTTAATAACATTTCATAAAAATGGCAGATTTGGCTGACTTTACAAACATGTAAAAATACAAGAAACAAAAACTAAGGTATTTTAAAAATTAACTGGGTTTCCAGAATTACATTGCTTCATACAAAGGATGAAAGAAATAGCTCTTCATCTTAAGAATAAATACTCCAGTAAATATTTCCAAAAACCAATCCTTTAAATTAGAGGCACCCAATAGATTTTTTTGTTGTTCATATCAATTTTAATCAACTTGCAACAGATAACTAAAACAATGTGTGAGGCAGGACTCAGGAAGAAAAGAGTGTCTGATCAATAAGTAATGCCTGTAATGAAGAAAAACGATATCTGCCATCACTGATCTACAATGTCAAATGTTTACCAAAGAGCCTTTTGCATATGCATTTGGACTTCAGATTATGTCTAGTTTAATTCCTTTTACACATATCACAAAAGATAGAGCTTATTTTGTCTTTAGAATCCAAACCAATATAAAGAAGCTGGAAGATAATGTAAAGTGCCAATAGCAAACAACAGAAAATATTTTATTTTTATTTTTTTGAGTCTAGGTCTCACTCTGTCACCTAGACTGGAGTGCAGTGGCATGATCATGGCTCACTGCAGCCTTGAACTCCTGGGCTCAACTCAAGTAATCTTCCCACTTCAGTCTCCCAAGCAGCTGGGACTACAGGCATGCACCACCACACCTAACTAATTTTTGTATTGTTTTGTAGAGACGAGGTCCCACTACGTTGCCCAGTCTGGTCTTGAACTCCTGTGCTCAAGCAGTCCTCCTGCCTCGGTCTCCCAAAGTTCTGGGATTTACAAGTGAGAGTCACCATGTCTGGCTAAAAAATATCTTAAAAGTTAGAAAAAATAAAAGCAGTTATAGTAAACTGAGATGAAGAATCAAAAAACTACATAGATACTCCTCATTTGTAAATAGACTGCATTCCAAAAGTTTCCAAGTTGGTTGCTTAAAACTCAGAATTATTAATGTTATTAGGTTTCCAAAATAGTCTGGAAGTTTTTTTAAACCTTTTACAGTGAAATAATTTTAGGACTACACATAAGTTGCAAAAATAATACAAGAAATTCCATTTACCTTTCACCCAGATTTCCCAAATTAAAAAAGTACTTTTAACACAGAAGGTAGCAATGTCATACATCTGTAATGAAAAGAGAGAACAATACTCCTACAGTGGCAGTTTTTTTTAAGAAAAACAGAAAACATATTTGTTTTAAATCTCAAAAACAGCTATCAGCACTGTAGAAGTAGACTATAAACTCTGAGAAAGCCTCTAAGTAATGACAGTTCTAAAATATGTATCTTTAAGTGCACAGCTGAGGTTGGGCTCGGTGGCTCAGCTTGTAATCCCAGCACTTTGGGAGGCTGAGGCAAGTGGATTACCTGAGCCCGCGGGTTTGAGATCAGCCTGGGCTGTGGAAGGGGACTTTAAAAAACATCTACAATGTCAAAAATTAGGCTAAGCATGTACTCGACCTTTGCACAGTTTAAAAAAAAAAAAGTTCCCTCCCTGGAAACTGGCAACAGCACCTGCTGGCTAGGTTAAACTGCTTAACAGCTTTTTTTCCTGCTTCTGTGAACCCCGCTAGCATTGCTTGAAAGGTACCTAGGCCTCCAGGATGTCGCGGTTTGGCCCAGTTGGAAAGTCCCAATGTGGTTTTCCCCCATTTAAGCAAGCCCCTATAGCTAGTGGGGGTCCTTGCTGTGGCACTGTTATGTCCAGCAGGCAAGTGGCTACTGGCCTGGTTCTTGGCTAATAAACCTCTCCTTTTTATAACTTGTACTTTTGGTGTTGGTGTCTGTGACTTAAGCGCTCGGTCCCTATTTCATGTGGGGGCTCACCAGGGAGATCCGAGAGCTGAATCCCCAGCAGCCCCAGTCGCCAGCTGACCTGGTGGGTCTGCAGACCCGCAGACCTCAGTGTTCATCGAGCCTGGTGAGTCTGTGGACTCGCAGACAGCTGACTGTCATCTGACTGTTGTGGCAGACTCACAGCGTCCCCAGAGCCCTCTGAGAGGTGAGTCAAGTTCCTGTTCTGTTTATGCGCACTTCTGGTTGGTCCCACAGGACAGCTGGACGCAGCACTAATTCCTGGGTCTGAGGTCCCAGTGAGATGTCACTGGGCCCTCCGGTATTGCCCTTGGGCAGTTAGGTCTGTCTGTTCAGTTTGTGCTATTGTTTTTGTTTGTTCAGTGTTAGTCACTGTTGTGTCTGTCATTGCTATCAATATTATGGGGCAGCAGTGCTCTGAGCCTGACACCCCTCTGTAACTGGTTTTGTGCCACTTCAAGGATTTCCAAGGAGCGGCACAGCAGTCAGGTTATCAGGTAAACCAAGGAAACCTAACTACCCTTTGTTCCCTTGAATGGCCCACATTTCCTAATTGCAACTGGCCACCGGAGGGGACCTTCAACCTTGCCATAGTGTGGAAGGTCCGACAGTTCGTCTATCAATGCCACCCAGACCAGATAATGCTCCTGGTAATGTAGCAGCCATCATGGATGAAGAAAGCCAAAAAGAAAGCTAATTCTTCTCACATTTTAGCCCTACAGGAAACTCCAAAAGCCAAACCTCTAGTCCTCCAGAGCCCACTGGAGGATGATGAAATTCCCCTGCCCTACTCTACATCTGAGTGGGAGCAGGGGGTCCACAAGGTTCTCAGCCCATCACTCACCAGGAGTGGGTCCTTGTATCAGCCCCTTTATCCCCCCTTCCCATGGGTCTCCCAAGGGCCCCACCGCCCCCGATAAACTGACTAACCCTGACTTGTCTTCAGGGAACTCAGAACCACAAACTTCCATAGTCCTCCCCCTGAGACAGGCCCCAGGACTAGACACGGGAGGTTCAGGGAACCAGCCCTTTATGGTTTATGTCCCTTTCTCTACTGGTGATCTTTACAATTAGAAGCACCAAAATTTGGCATTCTCTGAAAAAACTCAGAGCCCCACAGGCCTTTTAGAAACTATTTTCTTCACCCACCAGCCCACTTGGGATGACTGCCAACAGCTCCTCCAAGCCCTTTATACAGCGGAGGAAAGAGAACAAATTCATCAGGAGGCAAGGAAACTGGTCCTGGGACTGGACGGCAGACTGGCAGAGCAGGACTGTGTAGACAGTGTCTTCCCCGCTGAGAGGCCTAATTAGAACCTAAACACTGATCACGGTAGGGAGTGTCTCACCACATATCGCCGGACTTTAATTGGGGGGGGTCTCTGGGCTGCCACTAGGTTGCCCACAAATTTGTCTAAGGTAAGTGAGGTAACTCAGGGCCCATAGGAATCTCCCACGGCTTTTCTGGAATGACTTATGGAGGCCTAGCGGACGTACTCCCATAGATCCAGAGGCTCCAGAAAATTGGAGGGCTTTAGTTACAGCCTTTGTCTCCCAGTCGGCCTCTGATATAAGAAAGAAATTACAGAAAATTGAAGGATTTGAAGGGAAAAGTTTATCATAATTAACTGAGAAAGCCCAAAAGGTCTATAATAGCAGGGACTCGCTTGAAGACTAACAAATCAAAAAGATGGCCAAAGTAGTAGCAGCAGCTTTACAGGAAGTTAAACCCAAGCAGCCAACAAGGAAAAGAGGACCAGCACCGGGCGAAAAACTCCACTAGCAAAAAATCAATGTGCCTGCTGTAAAAAAATTGGGCCCAGACAGGCCACCCCAACCACAAGAGTGCCCTCCGGGGGGGTGGTACCCACCGAAATCTACTCCTGTGCTTCAATTACAAACTGACTGATGAAGCCGGGGCTCTGTCAATTCCCCCCCCCCGGAGCCCAGGGTGAAACTTATGGTGGGGGGAAGCCCTGTCCACTTAGTGGACACGGGGGCTGAGTATTCAGTCCTCCAAAAGTGCAACGGCCTGCTTCAGAATAAGCATTCCTTGGTCCAGGGGGCAACCGGGACTCAATTATGCCCCTGGACCACCAAAAGAACAATAAATTTGGGAAGAGGGGAAGTAACTCAATCATTCCTAGTAATGCCAGACTGCCCGTACTCGCTCCTGGGACGTGACCTCTTACACAAGCTTAAGGCCAACATAGGTTTTAAGGAAACCATGGCAGCAGTAAGTCTAAACCCATCTGGGGCATCAAAAATTCTTGTTAGTGTTCCCCTAAGTGAGGAATACACGTTAACAGAAGGTGGGGCCCCTCTTGACTTTTCAAACACCATACTGCTGGCCCAGCTGCAGACTGGGTTTCCCCAAGTGTGGGCTGAATTAAACTCGCCTGGGCTGGCATCACCCTCAACCACCAGTCGTTGTACAGAGCAAAAGTCAGGCAATGCCCATTAGGGTAAAACAGTACCCTATATCCCCAGAGGCCCGAAAAGGCATAGCAATCCCCATCCAGCATCTCCAGGAAGCTGAAATCCTAGTACTGTGCCACTCATCCTGGAACATCCCTTTTCTTCCTGTCAAAAAGGCGGGCACGGGAGACTACTGCCCTGTCCAGGACCTCAGGGAGGTCAACAGGCGAGTGGAGGATATCCATCCCACAGTCCCCAACCCGTACACCCTCCTCAGCGGGTTAACTCAGAGAAGCAGGTATACACTGTCCTGGACCTTAAGGACGCCTTCTTCAGCATTCCATTGGCTAAGCAGGGCCAACCCTTGTTTGCTTTTGAATGGACAGATCCTGAAAAAGGGGAAAATGGCCAGTTAACCTGGACATGACTCCCACAAAGATTTAAAAACTCTCCCATGCTGTTCGATGAAGCTCTCCGCCAAGACTTCCAAGCTTTCCGGCAACAGCACCCTGAAGTAACTCTGCTACAGTATGTAGATGATCTGTTAATCGCAGCCACATCAGAAGGTGAGTGCCTGCGTGCCACCAGGCACCTGCTTAAAGAACTTCAGACTCTGGGGTATAGGGTGTCAGCAAAAAAGGCTCAGCTCTATGTGACTGTAGCCAAATATCTTGGGTATAACCTCAAGGGAGGTAAAAGATCCCTGACTTCCCAGCGCATTCAGGCTATAGCAGGCATCCTGGCTCCAGGAAGCAAAAGGCAGGTCTGGGAATTCTTGGGAGCTGCAGGATACTGCCGACTATGGATCCCTAAGTTTGCTGAGCTCGCAAAACCCCTCTATGAAATAACCAACGGACCAGAGGCTAATTTTAAATGGACACCAGAGGGGGACAAAGTTTTCCAAGCCCTTAAAAATGCCCTGGTCTCAGCTCCAGCCCTGGCCTTGCCGGATATTGAAAAACCTTTTCACCTTTATGTGGATGAAAGACGAGGCATCGCCTGGGGGGTCCTAACCCAAAAGCTCGTCGCCTACCTGTCAAAAAACTGGAGCCGGTAGCCTCGGGCTGGCTGTCCTGTTTGCGGGTTATAGCAGCCATTGCCATGTTAGTAAAGGACTCAGACAAACTAACACTGGGGCAGAATCTGACTGTCACGGCCACGCATGCAGTGGAGTCTTTACTCCGAGGGACCCCTGACAAATGGATGTCAAATGCCCGAATAACTCATTATCAAGCGCTGCTTTTAGATCAACCCCGTGTCAAGTCCCAGCATACCCCCAGCTTGAACCCCGCAACTTTACTACTGGAAGAAAGTCCCACGGGGCCGCCACATTGTTGTTATGAAACAACTGAGTTCCAGAAGCTGCGCTGGGACCTAACCGATGTCCCGAGAACACACCCCGACCTGACGCTTTTCTTGGATGGCAGCAGTTTCATCTAGAATGGGGTAAGGTATACAGGGGCAGCGGTGGTCACTCTACAGGAAACAACTTGGGTTGAGCCTCTTATGCAGGGAACATCGGCCCAAAAAGCAGAATTGACTGCCCTGAGGCCCTAAAAGCAGGTGAAGGAAAAGTTGTCAACATCTACACTGACAGCAGGTACGCGTTTGCAACTGCACACGTTCATGGGACAATTTACAGGGAGTGGGGATTGCTCACCACAGAGGTGAAAACTATAAAAAATAAAATGGAGGTCTTGGACCTTCTGGCAGCAATATGGGCCCCCAAACAAGTCGCCATCATCCATTGCCCAGGCCACCAAAAAGGAAACTCAAAAGAGGCAATAGGAAATAGAAAAGCAGATCAAGCAGCCAGAGAAGCTGGTTACCACAGAACCACCTGCCTGCTGGCACTGCCTCCTCCGGTTCTGTGTGAGCCACCAAAATATACAGAAGAGGACCTCCTTGCTGCACAAAAATTGCAGATAACCTCAAACCCAGATGGATGGCTTCCACTTAAGGATGGCAGAACCTTCCTCCCTCGAGTCCTGGGACAACAAATCCTAAGGCAGCTCCACGAAGGTACTCATTTGGAAAGGACAAAACTAACTGAACTTGTGAGAAAAGAATTCTATCTCCCTCATCTGGACCAGTTTGCCCAGGAGCTCATTCAAGGCTGCGTGTCATGCCAGCAGACTAATAATGCTAAGGTCAGTGTATCCACCCAAGGGGTCCAAGATAGGGGACTAACCCCTGGGAGACATTGGGAAATAGACTTTACAGAAGTCAAACCTGGGCAATATGGATATAAATACCTATTGGTCTTGGTAGATACCTTCTTGGGATGGGTCGAGGCATTTCCTACAAAAACTGAAGCTGCTTCTGTAACAGTAAAAAAAACTCTTAAATGACATCATACCAAGATATGGTCTACCTATCTCAACAGGCTCAGATAATGGCCCAGCATTTATTTCTAAACTTACTGAAGGTATTGCAAAAACCTTGGGGATAAATTGGAACTTACATTGTCCTTATCATTCCCAGAGTTCAGGACAGGTAGAAAGAATGAATCGGACGCTTAAAGAGACCTTGAGCAAATTAGCCCTGGAGATTGGCGAAGGTTGGGTAACACTCCTTCCCTATGCCCTCTTAAGGGCCAGGTGTACCCCCTACATCAAGGGTCTAACCCCCTTCGAAATTCTGTTTGGATGGCCCCCGCCGTTACTTCCAAAAGTTGAAC